GATGCAGTTAGAGAGGACATAGTGGTATCTGGAGTAAGGGTAGAGGATGCAGAGGGACAGAGTGAGATGGTGGAGGATGACTTGCTGTGGCAACCCCTGAAAAGACAAGTTTTATTATTCTTACAAGCAGATGTCCTAATATCACATAAAGACATGAATTTAAACAGTAAAAGTGAAACTGCTACAAACCTACTTAAGTTTTTATTGGTCTTTATTTTTAAGGAAATACATAATTTACTTTAACTTCCTTACTGCCCGTCAGCCCTGAATTTGGTTTTCTTTGACATGACAGACAATTTCAACATTACTCTCTTAGACAAGCAAAGCTAAAGCTCTTAGAATTATGAATGATTTAAATAAACATTTTTTAACTCTTTTGAAATATGATATATAAAGTATGAATAAAAACAATGCATTATTTAGTTAATCTCTAAATCCTATTAAAGTTTTAAAACCACCAAAGAAAGAAAACTGGGAATCTTGTTTTTCTCTATACAAACAAAAACAAAAGTTCCTAATTTGAATTTATTCAAGAGCCTGTGTAAAAAAAAAAAAAGTTTTTCCACTGTGTTACGTCCCCTCTTCCTGAAAATTACTGTTCTAATTTACACTTAAACTGTTTACTCCTTTTTTAAAGCTAGTTTTAAATGTAACACTGCTGATTAGAATGTGAACTTTGTTGTATATTGTTCTGCCGTGTCGTGGAAAGCAGCAGAGGGCTGGCCGACTTGGTCCCTCTACTTGTGTTTAAGTGGATGTCAGGTACAGAGACAGCAGCCGTGTAGCTGGTGTCATTGAAGTCGATTTCCCTGGACGTGGTTGTGGTGGAATTGATTACTTCTTTTGTAATTGGCAGGCACCGAGGCATAGGGGACACTTGGGTGTCTACAGCCAGATGCTTGTGCACCGAATGAGAATTTGTTTTGTGTGTGTGTTTGAGTGTGTAGTGTGTTGAGACAGTAATGGATTCTCATTAGTATGTGCAGCAGCTTTAAACATCTCTGTCCAAAAGCCCTTTGGCTTCCATCCCAGTTTGGTTACTTTTGTCTATTATGGACCAACGGGCAGCAGTTTATAATAGACACGTAGTGTTCAGACCTGGTTTCATTTGATGATTTCAAGGTGGCACCTTTGGAAATTTTTTCACTTCTGAATATCTTTAAATTTGATTAATACATTTTAATGGAGTCTCTAGGAGGACAGTCTATATATGTGAACTTGAATGTCATA